GATCATTATCTTTTAAACACTCATTATTATCATTAATCTTATCATTATCTAGTAAACGGTTACGAAATAGTTTAGGATTATACTAGGTGTGATAATCATGTGATATGAGTGTGATAATCATGTGATAGGGGTGTGATAATCACCATTATACATCACTTGRRTTATCGTTTTGGTTRATAAGTTAAAATTTTGGTGTAATCATGTGATARGGRTGTGATAATCATGTGACATGGGTGTGATACTTATGTGATAGCGGTGTGATAATCACCGTTATACATCACTTGGGTTAACGTTTTGGTTGATAAGTTAAAATTTTGRBGTYATCATRTGATTTGGRTGTGATAATCATGTGATAAGGGTGTGATAATCACTGTTATACATCACTTGGGTTATCGTTTTGGTTGATAAGTTAAAATTTTGGTGTAATCATATAATATGGGTGTGATAATCATATGATATGAGTGTGATACTTATGTGATAGAGGTGTGATACGAAGAAAAGATGTTAAACCATCAACTATCTGAAGATTATCATGAACGAGAAGGAGAAGAAGATAACTACCAAGAGTAAAATGTGGAACGTGAAAAGATAATTATGGTTAATTAAAATAAAATAAAAATTATAAAAATTACTTAATTACATTATTGTCCTTATTAAATTATTTATATATAATAAAAGTTAATTTATTAATTAAAAAATTTTGAGGTTATTGGGTTGTTCTCGCATTTTCGTAAATCACAGGGGTTCTCGTTTGAACCTCCACCTATATATATATATATATAGAGTTTAACCATTTGACGGTTTTAATCCTTCAAGTTTAGACTCTTAACTTTATGTCCTAATAAGCATAAACTTAACATTTTAAGTTAAGTTCAGTTTCATTTTGTACGTGTGTGGCCCCTTGTATGGTAATCCATCACAATTTAGTTTGAGGTATAAGTCGGTTAAGCATAAGGTACAAACACGTTATGTACAGTCCTACCCAAAGTTCATTTAGCACAACTTATATGAATTAACGGAAGACAGGTATTATATCCACACATCATTATGTATTATTTCAAATAAACGAGTAGCAAATACATTATTTGAAAGAAAAGAAAGCTTATGAGATTTACTCAGAGCACACTCCTTACAAAAAGAACAAGGACAAGACAATAAAGCTTAAGTAAACTTCAAGGAAATGAGAACGGAATAGGATAGATGTCCCAATCGATTATGCCATAACGAGGAATGGTTGCTAGAGCTTGTGGAGAAACAGAGTTGGAGGATAGTTTGAGAGGATATAGCTCGTCTTTAGAGGGATGAAATAATAGAAAACCAATGTGCAAGCAATGAACTTGATAAAAATTAGGGGCAAATAAGAAATAGACAAGTTTATCTTAGGAAAACTGAGCAACAGATAACAAATTGTTACGAATGGAAAAAATGGAAGAGTCCCAGAATGAGTAACCGACATGAAATCACCATTACCCATGTATACATTATGTGGCTCAACGTATGGTTATGCGCTCTGAATAAGCATGGAGGTCAAATGATAAGTTGCTCCTGTATCAAATACCAATTTGGATCACCAAATACGGAAGCTTCGACAAAAGGAGGATTAGTAGTTGGACCTTGGAAATAGTGAGCGCATTGAGTGATTGCATGTTGATTTGTTTGGAAATTAGAACACCACTTAGGACTTGGCTCGAGGATCCTATTATCCAGGTCTTTCTTCTTTCAAAGTCACACACCTAAAGCCTTCGTGGGTAAGGCAATTCTAATTACTATCTCATCATAAATTGGATGCCATTGAAAATATTATGGTATCATCAATCTTCATCGAGAAAACCATACACGTACAAGGGTTTTACGGACTTATGTAAATAACAAACCCTTGTATCTTCTTCCTTTGTAAATCCTTGTGGATTCCTCATGTATACCTCTTCATCCAAGTCACCATGCAGTAATGCACTGTTCACGTCGAGCTGGCAGTTCCTTTTACTGGCCACTATAAGTAAGCTACGAATAGTGACAAGTTTAGCGACTAACACAAATGTTGCATGAAAATCGATGCCTTCCAGCTGTGTAAAACCCTTTGCGACTAATTGCACCTTGTATCGTTCCACCTCTCTGGTGGGTTTGTATTTAATCTTATAGACCCATTTTGAATTGATAACCCGTTTATTGGGAGATAATTCTTCAAAGGTCCAAGTTCTATTTGCTTCAAGAGTACTCACCTCTTTTTGCATGGCTTCTCTCCTTATAACGTCCTCGATTTCATGGTGAAAATGTTTTGGCACATCATGTGAAGTGATGGCCGATAACTAAGCCTCGCGAGATTCAGAAAACTCTCATAAGAGACAAGTTAAGCTAAGAGGTGTACCATTGAGAATCCCTGAGTGGTCATGGGTTGCAAATGGTCTATAGATGGAGGCAAGTTGGTTTCAAAATCATCAAAGCATTTCGGTGTCGTATTGTTCCTTTTAGGTCAAACGTTTGCTTTTGTCTCATCAACGGATTCATTTTGTTCATTCGATACTCTGCCATCCATCTCCTCGGGCGTAAGGTTTTGATTTGGCTCGTTGTCTGACTGATCACAAGTAGGTTCACGATGTGATTCATCTAGGTTACTACCACATGGATCTTCTTTAACAGATGTATCCATTCTGGATATTTCATCTTCATTTTGTGGGTGTGGTCCTGTTTTAATGTCCTTAAAAGGGTAGTTACCTTCCACAAATTTGGTGTCTCCAGAAACCATGATCCTTTTTTCGATGGGGTCAAACTCATAGACACGGTACCCCTTTTGCCCATGTGGGTATCCAACAAAGACGCAAGGTCTCCCCCTTGCTTCAAAATTATCTCTCCTTGTCTTGTTGTTTTTCACAATATCAAACATCAAAAAACAAGCATGTGATCATATGTGGGATTCCTTTTAAACAAGATCTCGTATGAAGTCTTGTTATTAATAACTTTAGAAGGAAGCCAATTTATAATATAGGTGGTCGTCATGACACCTTTCCCCCAAAACCCAATGGGCAAGGTTTGCTTCAAACCTTAAGGCTCTAGCCATTTCAAGTATATGTCTATGTTTACTTTCCACTACACCCCATTTTGTTGTTGGGTGTCAGCACAAGTGGTTTCCAAAATAATGCATGCTCATTATAAAACTATCATGGAGTTTGAGGTGAACTCTCCTCTATTATCACTTCTTTCTCTGTTAATGCTCCTTTCAAATTGTGTTCGGACCATATTGCAAAAATTTATCAGACATTCACTAGTATCAGATTTGTGATTGATAAGGTAGATCCAAACAACCGTACTACAATCATCAACAATAGATAGGAAATAACATGCCCCAGAAAAGGAGGGCACCTGATAACATCCCCATATATCACAACTTATCAAATCGAAACAATTAATAGTTTTAGTTGAACTACTAGGAAATGGCAATCTAGTTTGTTAATCTCTTATAATAGAATCATAAGCCTTGTTACTTGGTCTATCTACGGAAATAACCAGAAAATCAGTTTCTCAAAATTTTGAATTTGAGGCATGTCCCAACCTTTTGTGCCAAACTTTTGCATCTACCGAAACCGTCATTGTTATCCCATTACTTGTTGTCAACTCTATGTAGTATAGACCGTCACTGCATTTACCCGTTCTGATCAAAGTCCTTGAGGGTAAGTCTTGCATAACACAAAAATCCGGGAAAAAGGTCACGAAACAAAAAAAATTCATAAGTCATTCTGCTGACTGATAATAAGTTGCATTTGAAATTGGGAATATGTAGGACGTTCTCAATTTTTAAACCATTTGGCAAGGTGGATTTCCAATCCCTTCAACATAAAGGATTTCTTCGTTTGGAATGGTAACATGCATTTCACTATTGTGATTTTTTATTTCTTGGAGTAGATCATCATTACATGTTATATGTTCGATAGCACCTGTGTCTATTACCCATGATCTATTTGAAATCAAATTACTGGCCATATTCACGTTGGTGTTGTCGTGTCGTCATTGTTCGCCAAATGCTTGAGCAATTTTAGCATATTGCTTTGCTGTTAAGCTGGGTATGTTGAAAAATAATCAAGATTAGATAAATGAAATTTTATAAATAAAGTTTAACTCTTTTAACCAAAAGATAAATAAGCTATAAAAATTAAACCTTTATTATAAAAGACAGCAACTTTAATATCCGGAATCCAAAAAAAACCCTAAACCGATCAATGCCACACAGATTGAATCTATCCTCCGCAATAGATTCAATGAAAGAAGGGAATGGAAGCAGAGTTGTTCACTTGATGAATAGAAAATAAATACAATACATCTAAATTAAAACAAAAAATTTTAAATTGACGTTGAATCGGAATATGCATGGTAAAAAACCTGTCCTTAAAAGTTTTATATGACTACTCTAGTATGTTGTGAGTCTACTATAGTTGCAAAGCTCCAGGATTTGATGGAGTAACATGTTTCGTTTATCAACAGCTTTGATAATGAACTCAAAAACAAAGCAGATGCAGAATGTTGGTAGAAGAACTTGACTGAAGCAGAAATTCAAGAGAGAAAGAGGAAGTAGCCAATTTTTTTCAGTGTGTTCTAGGGGTGGTTTTAACCCAGTATTTATACTGGTTAAACACCCCTAAACCTATGATTTTATCCCCCAAAAATCGGATCACGTTGGGTTAGTTGGAGGATAATCCTCCAACAATAATTATCTTCTAAAAATCATGTTTAAACCAATTTAAACGATCTCTCTATAATTTGTATCAAAAAGATACTCGGAGATTGGGGTGAGGCTCCTTCTGCTTAGACGTGTTATGCGCCTCCTCATGCCACTTTCATAAATCCCGCGCCTCGGCCTCAACCATGCATGCACGTGTATGTTTGGCCTTCCACTCATGACCCACCATGAGTCCATCAACAAGTTCAAGGCCTAATTGAGAGGAAATCCTTATAAGGCTCTCTAATATTTTTCTATCTACCAATGTGGAATGGAGGATAAATATCCAACCTCACTAACATTTCCAACGAGTATAGGACTTGATTCCACGTTGACATGTGCTGCCCTAGCCTTCTTCTGCATAAAGTGTCCTCCTACTTGGCAACTTCTCGCTTGTTTTTCGATGGCCATTCCGGGTAACTATTCGCTTGAAACATCCTTCATGGTTGTGACCATGTTTGCCACAGTGTGTGCAATACTCCAAATTGTTTTCTTCTTTAGCTTCCTTTGAAGGGTATCATCTCGGCTGCAGATTTTGATTTGTTTTTACCTGTTTATTTACATTATCACCATAAGAATGGATTTGGAAATTTACTGCCTCAATAGTGGATCTCCGCATGGAATCGCTCTTTGTTGTTCATCTTCAGAAACCATGTGATAGGCATAACCTAATCTTGGTGTAGGCTTCATAGCCAGGATCTTCATCTTGATGGTACCGAAACTATCGTCCAAACCCATTAGGAATTCATACAGGTGCTCCTTTTCCTTTGTTCATGTCAACCTTTTTTCGATATCGCATGTGCATTTTCCATAGTTGCACTTTATCATGGGTGTAACAGATTGAATCTCATCCGACAATCCCCTCATATTGGTGTAACACGCTGAGAATTAGGTTTTGCCTTGGTGGATCAAGGTGAGAGCCTTGTTTTAATTCATACGTGAGTGGTGCACACTCCTTTCCAAAACGTTCCTTCAAATTTCTCCAAATTTGTTTTGCTGTGACGATACATTTTTATGTTGTTCCAAATTTCCTTTTTCATAGATGTAGTGAGCCATCCTTTAATCATCACACCACAACGTTTCCATAGCATCTGGTTCGGTGATGCTTCTTTTGGAATCTTTATGGTTCCGTCGATGAAACCAATCTTATTTTTGGCAAATAGGAAATTCTCCATCTCCTGTGACCAGTCCACGTAGTTGTCATTCAATGGCTCCTTTACATGCATTTGTTAGGGGTAGCCAGATGCATGTATGTAGTATATAAAATTAGTATCGACTTGGGGTAGGGATTTGTCATCTTTCTCTCCTGATGGTCCATCCATGGAAGCAATAAGGGAGTGGTGGTTTTTGGGTTTGAGGCATATATTAATAACTACTCTGATACCATGAAAATGTTAAGGTATCATCAATCTTCATTGAGAAAAACATACACGTATAAGGGTATAAATACAAAAAGATACAAAAACCTCCCTATATTAAGGGGCTATGATAGATGGATATGATTAAGGGCTACAATTAAGGGATTTTGTTTCCTATAACCATCACAGGTATTAAAATTTCAAACACCAGTACTTGTCCAACAAAAATCTTTTCCAAACTCTCGTGTCTATTTTAATCTTGATCTAAAAGTATTTGGTTGCTTCCTCTTGTTCATGTTCATAGTAATAAACAGGTCCAAACAGGTCCAACCGTCCTAATAAGCTCACCTCTGTCTGACCTCAAAAAAGAATTAAGTTAAGTTCAGCAAAAAGAATATTCATAAAACAGAATTTCTAGTAGTAACCCATGAAAAGAAAATCAACATATTGCTAAGTACAATAGCCGTTTAATCTTACTAATTACTCAGCATACATCACTCAATCCAGGTGTTAAGGTGTACATGAATTGTTGACGAGATGGTGCTCAACGAAGGTCTAAGGTCTGCACCTGAGAGTGGCATTGAGTGATGCGCTCTCTCACTTGTTTTTAAAATTCATACTATATGTGGTTGTCCAATAGACAAATTCAAATGCCGTATCCTTTTTATAAACTCTTGTTTTAAGTAAATTATGAAAGGTAACTTCCCAAAACATGTAGTTATTGGTTAAAATCAGCAAAATTTTGTTAGAATTTATAATTCTCGAATCACCAAATTACTCTATGCTTAAACCGAGACTAACAGAAGACCAATAATCATTTAGGCTTTGTTAGAGAAATGCTACACCAGAAACTTTTAAAGAAAATTACAAACGTTAACATCATCATATCATAGTACAAGCATCCTGATCTATTTTGTGATGATGTTGGACACTACCGAGTAAATGTACAATGAACTAATTAATGTGAAAGGAGAAGAAGATTTAGAGCCCAACATTTTTCCATGGAAATCTAAACTTCTTTTCTTGATTACTGTATAGTAGATACAAGTTAATGTGGACTTACCTGCCATTTGACACATCCTTGAAGACCTGGTTGGCTGAGCCTTTCCCCACACCATGTGTTGAAGGGGCAAACGTGTTCTTGTCGACCCAACCTAAGAACACTTCTCCCAAACCTTCTTCACCCAACCGCAGCTTTGGACTAGAGTTACTTGTAGCATTTTTCAAATCAACAAACTTAAGTTCTTTTAAACTTTGATTTTTGTAATCTGCAGGAACTTTTCTCGTGTCCAGAAAGATATCAGGATTATCGGCACTTCTATTGTTGCCCTTGGTACTACTTGATGGCTTTGAATCACCCTGGGCTGAAATAGATGAATATAAACAGATTACGTAATTAACCATTATTTTAACTTTTCCACCACTATAGAGTGGTTCTTCCTATTTATTTCAAGTTAGTACCAATCAGATGTTTGTTCCACTAGGTTTCGATATGACTAATAAGAATCATCCAGTTTGCGTATCTGCAAACTTTAGTATGCATGACTGTATGAATAAAACGTCACTGACCATATGCTACTGGCATCATTGTAATGCTACTGGAAGTATGCAATATGTATTATGAACCAATTTGAAGGGTCACATCCATTGACATCATTCCAATACAAGTTATTTAGGCAAATGGTGTCTCTATTCACGCACCTCCAGGTTTAGGCAAGCCCTATCAACTTGAAGGCTATGCTGTTAATGCAGTGAAATGGTGGCACTATAGCAGTTAGTACAGGCGCTAATCACCAAAGTTGGGCCGTGATTTTGATTTGCAACAGCAGTGTGAATACTGAAATTACGAGCTGGGCTTTTAAAGGGCTTAGAGAAGTCGATTAAGGGATGACAGACTAGGGAGCTGATTTTGATTTGCAAGATTGGTGTTTAAACCCACTATTCCTCTCTCATTTCTTCTATTCCAGCATCGTGCATCATCTCACTCTTTTGCATCTTCTCTTCACATCAACAACATCGTCTTCCAGCATTGTTTGCTTGTCATCTCTTCTATTCACGTGCTCTTTTGTTCATCCTTAATAGATCAATATATATAATACTTTGTGTATACATACGTACATTTAACCAATATTGTTTTTAATGGATGAGACTAGGCAAGATGTTTACGCAATGCTGTGAGATACACCAAATATAACTCAACTAAATGTGAATACAATCATAACTATTCAAATCACAGTCGCTGATATAACTTGAGTAAATGATAAAAACGATGAAATAGGCCCAAAGACTTTTAAAGGTTGAACCTAATTGGCAAAGCAGAACCATCTGAAATGGTAAAAAAAACTATTCACTGATTGATGCAATTATCTGGGTGAAAAGAACGAGATAAAAGAACAACAAAAAGCA